ATTTATTGTATTTAGGACATACTCAATTCCTGTTTGCTAAATTTAATAATACCAATAGAACTTGTCTGAAGCATATATTTAAAACGGTCTTAGGTTTATACGAAAACGAATACTATATTTATTACAGTAACTGATGGTTATCGATGATATTAAAACTTATTAAGTTTTATTTATTGAATGTAAGTAATATTGTATGTATACTCCTAACGTAATTCTAATTCAGTTCCCTCAGCAATGTCTAAATTATTAACTTTCGTCGACATTTAAAAATTATATATGGCATTTACCAATGGAGAGGCAAACGAAGACGTAGACGTGGGTATAAGCTAGTGCTAAATACAGACATAACAGATAACCTCATTGTTATAAACTACTATTCACAAGAAACTCCGATATATGAGGAGACATGACTGAATAACACTTTGGGAAAGTTCGGCTTAACACTCGCACAAGTTTCAGCCGTTACTGAGTTGTTACAACGTGTAGAAGAACTTATAACGTAAATTGTTCGGGGCAATATATCATTTGCAGCTTACGTCGACGCCGGTTTACTGGATCGGAAACGTAGTTGGGGCCTCGTATTCAACGTGGAGATGTCCAGGCCTCGCGTAGGGTCTGTTATTAATTTAACCGGGCCTCTAATTAACATTTCCCGCTGCGAAATTCAACGCGCTCGATTATACCGCGAACTGCGAGCGACGTGACTTATCTTAATTCAGTTTAAAAATATGAGTGTCGCTCTTGTTATGCAAATTGTCTCGGGATTAGTGTTATTTTTGTTTGTAGTGAATTAGACGGCGATAATTGTCGTGTTTGTTTTACAAGGACGAGCGCTTAGAATTGGTATTATGAGACGCGACTCCTCGGGAGTTGTAATTGAGATCGAATCAAATATTTGTAGAGCAAATGTAAATCGGTATCGGTTATAAATATACAGTGTCTATTTTGAGTATAGTTTGAGTGTTTGATATCGTAAACGTTGCTTGATGTATTATTAAGATTTATTGTATACTAGCTGTGCCCGCTACTTCGTCCGCGTGGAATTTTAAATAAAAAAAAATCTGAAATAAAAGTACTTTTTATTCAGCTATCTGCCAGTGAAAGTCCCGTCCAAATCGGTCCAGTCATTTCAGAGAGTAGCCGGAACAAACAGACAGACGGACAAAAATTGTAAAAAATGTTATTTTTATCCAAATGCATTTAGTAAAAAGTCACTGAGAAGGGTGAGAGACATAATCATTGGAACACTAACGTTTTTTTTTTAATACCGATGGATGGTATGGTATTTGCTAAACACTGTTCAAGACGGTTTCGTATGGCATTTAAAAGTTAATTAACAATTTGATATAGCTAGCTTCAATGAATGCATTATTTAAACCTTTTCGTGCCGTACTCGTATTTCTATACTGACATATTAAAGTGATACATCCGGACTAACGTCTAAATAGTCTAGTAATAAAGTGATAGTAACGTTGGATGCCTCGTTTAGTGACTGATATATGTAGACGTTAGTTCCCATTTGTGACATGGGAACGTATTTTTTGATTTTTTCATTGAAGCTTTAAAGGTAGAGTTAAGAGGAGAGCCTTTAATACTAATAAAGCTTTTTTAAACATTTTAAAGTTTATGGTTGTAGATTCTGATATTGCTTGAAAATATACTAAGCTGGAAAAAAATTAATATCTTATTTATTTGATTAAGTCATTAAGATATTGACATTGAACATAATCCTTGTTGAAAATGTTTTGCGTCAAGTTATATGACACTCCGTCAGTGATAGTTGCGGACTTTTCTTAATTGGCATTCGGATTGGTTTTGTATATAATATTACTAACTTAATTCGTTGTAAACTTGAATATATTCAAGTTTACAACGAAAAACGTTTAAATTCATAGCAGTTGAATTACACTAGCACTAATTAATATTAATCTATTTAAAATAATTATTCACGTAGTTTTGTTACCCGTACAAATTTTAAAAATTTTGAATGCTGAAATATTTTGCTGAAAGAGTTTCAACTCTGGTCGCAATAATAATGGCATTTGTAATTCAATATTCTTGTTGATTTATTATCTTTGGCATCCTTTCCCCCCAAAATCGTTCGAAGAAATATTTCAGGTATAGCCCGCATAAAAATTATAAAATGTAAAAAAAACTCTCAAAAAAATTGATTATATTAGAGAGGCTATTTAGAGGCGCTATTTAGAGAGGTCTTTATTTGTAATAAATCATTTTTTAAAAACAATTTATCATTTTAAGAATTTTTTTAATTTTTATCATATAATACAGAACCGTACAGACAAAAAAACCATACAGAATTTTCTGTTTAAGCCTTGAAACGTAAATCGCGTGTTCATTTAAATATCACGGTAGAAACGTTAACAAGTTCTGGTATTTTTTTATAAGATCATTACTGTGGTTGCGGTAAGAAATTACGATGCATCAAAATTGTATATAAACGTAAATAAAATCATCTTTAAGACTCAAATCTCTTTACGTAACATTAATACTTAGGAAAATCGTAGATATTAAACGCGAAATTTGTAAAAGATTCAATCATATCAATGTGATAACGATACATGCAAATAAATTTAAATAAACAAATATATGAATAGAAACTCGAAACAATATGAGACTTCAACTTTATAAAAGTTCAGTTCATAACTCGTGAAAATACTGCAATGTAGCGCAGCGCAGCTGTATTATAACAAACCCGAGACATGAAAAGGGAATTCATCCTTCGATGCAATTCAAAGCAACTAGCCATGGACTGGACGCGGTGTTTATTTTCGACCATTTTGTTCCAGTTTATTTTCGGCCCTTCCTGTCTCGGCGGACGACGTGCGAATTTAAGGGCGACGCTAAAATACATTATTAAAACGAAAACATTCTACTAATTCCCCGTCCGACGCCGTTACGTTTTCTTTTTCCGCTCCGACGAGATTTCGCAGTTTAAAATGTGAATTTAAAGATTTTCATAATCTTATACTCGTTCAAACCAAATATTACATAGCAATCTTTGTAATTAATAATTAACCCTTACAGGACCATAAGATGTCCAAGACTAAATATGCCGATACAACACAATATTTTAGCTATTGTGGGTATAAAGTAAGAGGATATCTCCAGAAAAACATAGAAGGATGTATAGGTTTCCTATAATTTCACGGGAAATATTTTTCCCTATGGACCATAAAAGTAAATAAATAAAGAGTAAGGTTTATTTTATCGGTATTTTATTTATTGCTTTGTAATACAAAAAACACAGTAAAAATTATCAGAAAAGTAAAATAAATAGTTAGTTATGGTATTCTACGAAACAATTTCGTTTACTTGTGAAGCACAAGTGTTCATTGCACATAACACATTTATTATGTCTCCTATTTTCTATACGTCGTTTTGCACAGTTTACGTATCGCTTCAGTTTATTTCCAATGCGGAGCTTTTCAGAGGAGACTTAAGTGATTCTTGTTTGCTGTCTACATGTAAAATATCGGAATACTTGGCGTCGAAATCTCGAGCAATGTCCAGTTCCGGGGTCAATTGGAAAGTAAGACCACATTGGCTTCAAAGTAGGGAGGGTTGCTCAGTAAGGCGAGACATCACGTCGGCGCAACGCCTAAACCTTTATAAGGCGCAAATTCGGCCCCACATGGAGTACTGTTGTCACCTCTGGGCGGGAGCCGCCTATTACCAACTTCTTCCATTTGACCGCACCCAACGTAGGGCAGCTTGGGTTATCGACGCTCAAAGTCTTTCCGATCGACTTCATACTTTGGTTCTGCGTAGACATGTTAGATCACTGTGCATCTTCTACCACACCTATCACGGGGAGTGAATTTTTTGAGTGAATTCCGAAGAATTTTTTGGATTGATTTATGGCGGCTGAATTTCACCATCGGACAAAAACCAAAAATTTCATCCACACCACCTTTTCACACACGATTTCCAGCGTTCCTCAACAGCGAGATTTTCAAGGCATTTCCTGCCTCGTACAACCGCTCTGTGGAACCAGCTGCCGCCGGTGTGTCAAAAAGAGAGCATACTCTTTCCTAAAAGGCTTGCAACACATTTGTAAACCCTCTAGTGTTGCAGGTGTCCATGGGCGGCGGTGATCACTTACCATCAGGTGAGCCTCCTGCTCGTTTGCCGCTTTCTTCCCATAAAAAAAATATTAGACCTCGTGCTACATGTTGATGATACTTCTTGAACAGAATCTTCAATTTCAACAACATCGGTTCCATTTTCTACATCTTGAGCTATGAACTGCTGGTCTTCTTCGTCTAACTGTAGTCTGTAGTAAGTTATCTTCTCCGTCACTACTATCGCCGTAAGCAATAGTTCTTCATCTTGAATATGAAATTCTCTGCACTTTTAGTCTTTTCTGTAAAAAAACATGAAGGTAAACTGTAGAAAATGCAAGAAATCCCTACATTATCATAAAGCACTACATATAATAATAATACAACGAATACACCAGATATGGACCAGAGGGAAAAATATTTCCCTTTAGATGATTTGCAATTTTCAGGTACTTGTGCTAATGTTCTGCAGTTTACTGTATTATTACATAAAATAATACTTACCAAATAATGTAAAACACGTGACAAAATAAAGTTATTTTATTTGCTCAAGTCCAAAACACTTCCTAGATATTATTAATTCAGCCCGCGAATGTTTTGGTTTTGGCGCAATAAAGTTTGACAGTTATTTTTTGTTTATTCATTCAGAAACACATTTGCCGCCTTGGACATACGTTTTACTTTGACATTTAGTAAAAAAAATATCAATTCAATAATAATTGAACAATCGATAATAATTTTTGTAGAAGGGAAAAATATTTCCCTTGGGCGTGAAAGGGTTAAACAAAAACTGTAAAGGATTGGAATGAGAAATTCTTTTATTACGGTCTAGTAGAATATAATCGTATCAAGAGACTGCGCGTCATTTATCAGGGGCCGAAACTTTTCGGTCGTACCCGCGTAATTGATTCCCCATCACCGAAGCTGAGAGCTCCCGAAAGGGAAATTGGCGGCACGTAGCGAGGCTTCGCCGGTTCCCGTTCCTTTATATGTTTTCGTAGCGCGTTTCCATTGTTTTCGGACTGCAAGCAGGGTGCACGGCACGCCTCGCGACGCGTTATCAGCGGCCCTCCGTTCAGTCCGACCGCAGACGTCCGACACGGTGCACGTGCGTCGCGTTTTCCGCGGCTTTTCCGGCGCGAACCCTCGTACGGCGGGCGACGTCGCTCCTAGCCCCGGCGCATCGTAATACCCGAATGGAGAGCATAATCGTGTTACTGATAAGTTGATCGGCGCCGACGCCAGCCCGCCACGTGATCGGATTACGGACTAGGGATACGCTGTTGACTCACTGACGTAAGTAGACTGTACGTTCGGGAATCCTTTAATGAATTAGCCGCTCTGTTTGATTGCCAGATTAGACGCGATAGTTTGCGGAGGCACTACATCGAAGGTCGCGACGGGTAATGTTTATCTATTATCGTGTATGTTTCGAGTCGCATTATCTTTGTCAACCGGTTCCTTTGCGATCGTTGCTAGGTTAATAATTTACGTGATTTACGATTTATTTTTATTGCTTACACAACAGTAAATAAGCCCACGTATACAGGTACAGGTATTTAAATATTTCAGGGTTATTAAAACAAGTGTAACACTACACAAGATATATGACATTGATTTATGGACCTTGACATATTGCTAAGCGAGGAATTTATAGAATCGAGTTAATATTATATAGTGATCTAGGGAATTAATTAAAAGTAGGTGGTCTTTTAATATGCATCATAATAGAGCAATTTACTCGTACCACCAAGGTTAGGCTGTACCAAGAATTCCAAAGGTTCGTGATATATATGATGAAAATTCTTTCCTCGTTTTGTGAAACAATTGTGAAACTATAAGTTTTTAGAATTTTTAAAATAACAGAAATAATTCTACAATTAATTTGAATAAATAAATGATTTCAGTTACTGTTTAGATTTTAAGACAGTTTATATAAATTACCTATGTAAAGGAAATATGTAAACAAATAATAAACATATAAAGAAGTAATAAAAACGAAGTAGTCTACATGGTAGAAACAAATAGTTTCAACAACACAACAGGGAATACTAAATATTTGATTTTAATGAAATTACTATTTACACTAAGTATCATTTCATCCATTCGCATCTCGATTATCCCAACGTTAGAATTATTTCAGAAAAAATATTAACATTATTGACGCATTTAATTAACAAAATGAATGTTACCAAGGTGAAGTTAGGCATTTAAATTAAACGCGCCCTGTAAATTTACACTTCGCGAATTAAAGGTGAACGCGAAACTTTTACGGTTACGATTACGATACAGGTAACTTTAAACGTGAGATATCTTGGGCTCAAAACGGTCCGCCCCGCAGGAAGTGCTTTATTTTATTACACTTTGTAACGTTTCGTGTTTGCGATCCTTAACAAAACTTGTGCGGTGAACAGCAGTTGCTGCGGCCGTGAGCGCCTAACATTGTTTCCTATTAGACAATGTCATTACCATTTATCTATCCACGTACTTTCTGAATTTTGTATCAAAACACAATTTTTCTGATACAGACTTGAATTGTTAGATTACTTTATTTGTGTCATTTCGAAATTTAATACGAAGTTAATTTAACTGGAGCCGATTATGAAATAGAAGAATGTTTTAATTTCATATAAGCTAATTTTGAAGGAATACGAATTCATGTAGCAGACACACTGTTGTTTATTCCCTTAATGACGCCTAAACACTAGAAAATTGCTTATTTATTAAATTAATACTTTTCAGAACGAATAACACTGTAGTAATAATTTTAAGGACATCTTTTTACACAATCTATTCCCAAACTAAGCAATCATGTAGTATGGGTACTAGGTATCTGAATTACATACTTAAAGATGGTTTTCTTTTGCAAAAGAATGCATTATTATGAATTCATTTTCAAATATTTTTAAAATGCACCATGAGCCTAGAAGATTCTATCTTCATCACACAATCTTTTTTTAAGTTGCCGGGGGTTGAACCAACACCATTCGGCATAAGAGAAAGGTTCAGTGTTCACTACTCCATTATTATTAGGGTTATTAACTTAACACTACAATTTAAAGTAAAAAAAAGTAAAATAACAGCCTATGTAACATGTCCCACTGCTGGGCAGAGGCCTCCTCTGTGCGGAACGCAGTAGTTAATTGTCCATTCGGGCTTATATTACTTATGTATTAATTTCACACTATTCTCCTCGATGGTATTATCTTAATTTCATTATAATAAATAATAATAATAAATACATTTATTTATTTCTATAGTAATGACAATACAGATCGTTACAGATTACTTAATTATGGTAAGTTACAATAAGAGACTATGAGGTACACTGTGACTTCCAAACTAGGCAGTGCCTGTATCTTGGAAGCTGGAGTGCGCTTCATGTAAAACGTTATTAACAAATTAAAAAAAAAAAAAAAGAAACAGACGGTTAGCTCCTTTTTACATTATGCAACTGCATATGCAGTAAACGTACCTGTTATTTGTTGCAGTAGGCAATACACCTATTTATATTTCGCGCACAGACTGTGCGAAACAGCTCCAACAGTTGTCTAATATTATAAAGTTAGCCAACTAGAACGCTGTTTGCAGTCACTTAATAACATTATCCGGGTCTGTTTGACGGATTCGCAATGCGGTTGAAGACGATGGTTGGTTATTCGGGTCAGGGCTGGTGCTGCCACATGGGCCACGCCCAGGGCCGGTCTAGGTCGTCACGCTTGCGATAATACCCTATTAAGTTTCATTAGCGTCCGATGCATCTAGCCTAATTAATTGGACAAGGTATTACCACTTTGTACGGGATGTTCGTAGTTCTCGAAATGTGTTCGCTCTGACCAACGAAATGTTCTATATATAAATAAGCAGAGGCTTGTGTACCACGACGAAGAAGGACAAGTAGTAATTGTCTTCTAATTAAGAAACAGTTGAAGAGTTGATCGTTGACAATATTTAAAAAAAAATGTTGTATTGCGTATTCATAAAAGAATGCTTTTAATTTTCATTGTTTTATCGTGCAGTAGAAAACGCCTCCGTGACGTATTGAAAATAGCGAAATATTGTTTAAAACTTGCGCAGTGTTCCCGTCTATTTGTATTCGATCACGTAAATTGAAAGGATTTCTATCCCTTTTTATTTGTTATTTCGCGCTGTCCAAAGCCGTACTCTACGTATTGTTATATTTTATCACGCCTTCCATAAGTTTTTTTATGAACTTTTTAGTAGAGACTAAGCTTCTTTTCACATTACTTTTCATTTTACTTTTTACTTTGTGTGGAAAGCGAGTCCTTACAGTCTTTTAAAATTAATTATAACAGTGTTTCACTTTTTCAAATAGATAAGAATCTCGCCATTTTTGACAATAATAGCAGCTGAACATAACGTACGTTAATACTTTAATATTGAAGTGCAAATTATATGCATTAAAAGTTTCTCTATAATACATTATGATGGTTTCTAACAACTTAATAACGATAATTTCTGACAAAAGTCATGAGACTTTTTTTAAACGCACCTCAGCTCCGGACTAATATAAAAGATGAGAAAGTTTCGGTGTGTGATTTCTCATGCGTCAGTTCACAGATTTTAATAAAATTAAAATTAGATTTACAAGATAATTTTTATTAAGATACGCGCGATAAATCGATAATCGATCAACGACAAAAGATTTTTAATTCTTATATATTCTAAATCTTACTATTTCTGTTCCATTACGATATAACTATTTCAACCCAAAAAGAAATACGGAGCCACTTTAAAAATATAAAGGTACTCGAATTAAAATAAGAAATTGATTGTAAGTAATATAAATAATCAAAGCCTTCTTCCACAATGACAACTACTGCGATTACGAGAACAATATGTGAAAACCGCTTCCCCTTTTGAATGGACATTTCGATAAGAAATACGCCCGTTTCCTTATCAAAATATCAGTTCAAATGAGAATTATTTTTATATTAGATTTTCTTTTTAGTATGAAAAATACTATTATAAAATTAAAATTCCAAATTGACGCAGTTGCCACCGTCAGCCACTATCTTACGATATAAAAGTAGTTTGTAATGACCGATAACGATAAATAAAATTATTCAATGCATTAAATGTCCATTAGGTGGGTGTTAAAGGTTACTTTCGGACCCTCTCCAATCTTAATTGCATTTAATTATCGTCTCCACCACCCGTATAACAAATTTTGGACGTAAAGTCAATTACATCTCCCTATTTTTGTAGAAATATATTAAAATCGCACCAAATTTTAAAACAGCTTCTGTTGTTGTGTGATTGGATTATCGGACATTAGAAGATAAGTTCTTTAAATTCTGCTTTTCGTATAGTAAATGCGAAACCTGACTTGGCTTCATCATCTTAAGTTATATACAGCAAATGTTACTTCTCGAGTATTGTAGATGGGTGTCGGTAAAAACTTGTAGCCGGAGCCCACATTTTAAAAAGTTGTCAAAGCATCTGCAAGCCCTCAAGTTTTGTAGATGTCCATAGACGGCTCGCTTCACTTAACATCAGGTGAACGAGCGGTTCACCTCGTTTGACTATTTTTGACTTAAAAACAACTTCACACCGGGAAAAAAACCGCCTGTTTCTTGTGTACAATGGCAAACTGTCCCTCATAAAAGAAACCAAATTCAACGGAATTTACATCGTATGATTATGATGTTTAACTTTATATTTAGCAATATGTAATATAGTATTATCTCCTAGAAAGTGAATATTTGTCAAGAATAATGTCGAAATATAATTCCCCATTATCTTGAAAAGCATTAGATAGGAAATTGTCGGGATAATTAAGACTTTGACAGGCGTAAATCTCAGAGTAATTTTAAAGAGTAAGTCTATTCGAACTTCGTGGCAGTATTATTTATGTCAAAGTATTTTGCTACAGACATATCTGTTTTAGCAAATTTATTATTATGAATTAATGTTTTCGTATACTACCAGCAGTCTCTTTAACGCAAAATTACTAATTACATTTTAGCTGTTACAATATATCAAACTACGTATTACATTAATTTTCCTATATAAAACAAACAGTGGCGTGGTAAGCGTTGCTTTTAATTTATTAACTACGCGATGTATTTGGTAACGGAACTTTTCATCAATCCAAGTATAGAGGAAAATAACCGTCGCATTCGGGAAAGTTACAGACTATCGTGTGCTATTCGTTTAATTTGGCCCAGTTTGTTGATGATTCAGTTTCCATTCATTAGGCCGAGGGGTTACGTCACGTGAATATTAACGTTCTAATCGTCACGGATTGACGTAATTTTCCTAATGTATGACTATTGCCGTGTGAAGTTGTGTTTGTTCGTTTCAACCGGCCGACCAATGAACAAATGATAAATGCTTCCGACTCCTAGAGTCTAGTATAATGTAGCGTAAGCACACTCTATCATAGATACAATTGTTATTCGATTAATAAAAACATACAAAAAAATCATAATTCGGCTATTCTTAACTTTTTTATTTCTGAACTCTGCTGCTCATCCAAATGAATTAAGATCCGCAACTATCTTATAACTTTTTTAACGTTCCTGTAAAGTAGCAATTAAATTTCAAGGTTTATTAATAATAATGAAATATCAGTGCATTGCGGATTACTTACTTCCCTAAAGGTTCCATTAATACGGTTAAAAGGATATTTAATAAACTGACAATGAATGGAGTAATTGTGTTCTAAACTCTTATCATAACGAATAGTAGACTAAACAGTTACTGCATTCTCAAACTAAGTGAAATGTGAAACGAACTTTATTGTTACTATAGTAACGATTGAACTTAGCAAAACTTATACGCAGTAAGTCTGCTTCAAACCAGGCCTTAGAATAAGAAGTCAGAGATGTTTTACATTGAAATGTAAATATAAATTTTATTTAGATTAATATAAAATCTATCGAATAGTAGTATGATTTGTATATGCGTATGATAACCAATTAACATTAAGTAACATAGCCAAAACTGTTTACTACATGATTCACATGTCGTGCAATCAATCCCACCAAGTGGAATAAGGGCAGGGAAATGATGATGATGATGATAATTAAGTGAATGCAAACCGAAGCATTCGATCGAACGCATTTGAAGCATATTCTAATGATTTTGTTTTGAATTTATACTAAATATCTTTGATACTTAAATACCTTTCGAATATCAAAATATGTTGAGAATTTGTGTTTTTTTTTACATTAAATTTGTTTTGGCAATACTATTTAAAACAATCCTAAAGCAAATAGTATCGTTTCGTAAAATCCGCGATGCTTTCTCTAAATAAAGTAAACAAACATCTATTCGGGCCTACGTGCGCGGTACAATTCATTGAAATGTAATAATGCACACAAATGGGGAATTGAGTGGGTTTCGTATGCGACGGTCCGTTTAATCCGACCGAACTGGGACACACTTTCATCGAGTTTAAACGAGCGCCATTGCGATCCAGTCGAAGGTTGCTGCGTATTACATGTGCTACAAATACTACACGGCATTGTGCGCGACGGACAAACAGAATGGGCCGATTGTCCGCAATGGGGGCGAGCCCGTTCGCACACTGCGCAGGATCTGGGCTCTATTTGCCGCGTCTGATGTGGTGCGTGACGGCCGCTCCCAGGCGCGTGGGCAATCGCCCCTCTGCGCGGACTCAGATTTTGACATTTTTCGTTGTATTTCAGTAACGATGTATTATTTATTTATTTATCTATACAACAATAAGGGCTAAAATGAGAAATTCTGGGTCTACGGCTCTACCAGTCATCTCTTGTAATGGTGAAAAGTAGTTGGCCTTATTTAAATTTTTCACACATAAGATTTGGCAAAATTAGATTTGTCTAGTAAAGTGCAGAAAGTTATAACTTCTGAAAGCAACGAAATAAAACTTTCATTGTTTACGTTCATACTGTAATAGTTTAGGCGAACAGTCGCACATACTAGAGATTGTCACGTAAAGTTTAAAAAAGTGTTAGATTGAATTAGTTTGAAAGAAAAAATATTGAAGTTCAATAAATTACAGTCAAATGTCGGCCACTGGGCGGTCACATTTTTATACACACGTTTTTAGAATTACCATAAGCATGCCACCTTGTCATTATTGATAAAAAATTTGTAATACATTAGCATAATTATACATACATATGATGACTCCGTGGTGCAGTTACGAACGTATACTGGCTTGGGCTCCGGGGATCGTGCGCTCGATTCACAACACGTTACACACAGGACAATTATTTACAAAATGAAACAAAAATAACTTTTTTAAGTTTTGAGTATTACAGTTATTTTAAAACGAAGTGCCTATAGAATCTGAATTTCTGTCTGCGCGAAAAATAATTATTAAATTGTATTTGGAAAAAAACAAAGTCCAATGTTATAACGATTTTTAATTTATCCAACTCAGTTCCCGTATAGTTCAAGAACATTCGAATTAAAAATTACATTGCGGACGAAGAAATTAAATTAGTCTTATTAAAAATTACACCCACTCAGACGGACGAGCCGAGTTATACAGCAAAAAGCTACTGCGTGGCACTACCGCAGTAAACAGACTACAAAATTGATAGTAATATATAACTTCACGCATACACCCCATAATGAAGACATTTACATTTAAATTGAACCTAGATAGATATAACAATGCAGTTAAGTAAAAAGTCACCCTCTTCTAATCGACCGTCAAAGAAAAGACGAAAGGTCATTGCAAAGGTCAGAACCAAAACCCAACTATCACACAGCGTCGGCGTAAAAATACACCTTCCACAATCCGTAGACAGTTACTTCAATACGTGCCTCGTATTGCGATCAGTATACAGACCCGATTGGCGTGGGGAGTAGTGACCCTGTCTCTTGCGCCATAGGGTGTGGGTTCGATTCCCACTACTGGAAAATTATTGTGTGATGAACATCGTGTTTTTCCAGTATCTGGGTGTTTACATATGTATAATATATATTTATTTACAAAAGAAAAATTAGAATATACTTTGTTTAAGTATGTTTATCAGTTCTCTAGTACTCATAGTACAAGCGTTGCTTAGTTTGGGACAAGAGAAAGTTGTGTAAAAAATGTGTCCGAAAAATATTTATTATTATTGTTATTTATATATGAGAGGCGGCGTCAAGTTTTGTCACCCCCAATACGGGAGCGCATATTTCGGTCCTGACTTTGGGCCAATTCAATTCACAGGCCAACTCGAGCGAACGCCAACTGGCAAACTGTTTCAACTTTCGACGCAAGACCACCATTCGTTACATGAATTCGAATTGACCTGAAGGCACTTCTGTTTGGTCCACGCTCGGAATTATTGCGAATCTTTGCGTTCGTAAATTTTGTATATTGAAGGCAAAAATTTTAATGAATTCCGAAAAAAGTCCCCGTTAATCATAAACCACAGATGCGAATATCCTACAAAGGAACATTTAATACTGTGTTTCTTCAATCTTGGAATTGCCTGCGTGAGGAGAAATAAGTACATTTAATTAAAAGATTATTCACCCCACCCTTCCCTTATTTAGTAGTCATTTCTTGCAGAAGAAGAGATTGTCATATTTTTCTGAAATATACAATTTAGCAATACAAAGAATTTTATTATTTGTTTTTAATTATTTCATGGATTTAGCACACTGGAGATATGCCGATGCCGTACAATATTTGAACAAGTGTGATCGCCGTTTTCCTTTTCATTTTCAACATAACGATAATTTATTGGAGGCGTTTAAATATACCGCATATTACTCCTGTCACAGTGAAATGTAAATTTTTAAATTTGTTATTCTTTTGGCGCATTTGGAAAAAAATATGAGAGTAAAATTTTACGATGCGCGCGCACAAAGCTCAAAAAGCGACATTGGTAACCAATTTAGTCTTGGCAAACAAATAGCTTTTTGATATTTACCAATAATTTCAAGTCATTTAAATAAACCGTCATCAATTATATTTAATGTATTCACGCTAAATAACTTCATCACACATACTTTTTTTGTAGATGAATTAACTGAATAGATAAATGAACACTTTTGGCACTGTGGGAATAGAACCTGTGTGTTACGGTCTCGCGCCCAGACTCTTCACCAACTAAGCTAAGCGGTCAATGACCCCACGGGGAAAAAATCTCGACATCTATCTAAGTTGTTTTATTGCATATCTAGCTACACTTTTAGAATTATTTCTAAATATAAAAAAATGCGATTAAAAACGTAGTTATACTTAAATAAGAAGTCAACTCAAAAATTATTCTTTTTGATGTTACTGAAATAATATTTTTTTAAATGTCATCCAATGGCGTACATCTCAAAGATAAGGATACGTTGTGGACATATTTACTTATCACGACTATTTTCGGAAAGTTTCTTTAAATCGCCTTTAATTTTCTTTTAAGTATTTGCTTTTACCATTCTCATATATTCGGCTTATATTTATTACATCAATTGCTATGTTGGTTTATTGTTTAATAAGACATACCAAAATTTTACTTATTTATGTGTCTAAATATGTTCAAATAATGATAATGCCTTTTGTTAAATTCAACTTAGGCAATATTTTGACGATTAAATATGCACCTCCTATTTACGTAACGAAGATTTTTTTATAAACATGTCAGTCATTTACCAATTTAAAAACATAATTAAAAAAGTATGCGGCGGGCATTCAATTGTCTGGGCGTAAACCGTATTCAGCTCTTTAACACTGTTCAAATTCAAACGCTTATTAAGTGTCGGAAATGTTAGAACAACGTTCGCAACTAAAAGGTAACGCACACTTTCTCCCCAATTATTCTGCGTACGTTAATTCAATATTGGTTTAAGGCCGCCGCGGAGTGACGAACGCGCGCAAATGACCCACATCCTTCACCTTAAACCGACACCAATGTTTCCTTATCGTGGACCATGGAGATGCGAGGGTAGACGCCAACTGCATTTCAAACCTTATCCACTAAGCATTTGAAACGACAATGGCATGCAATTCGGTCGTCATGAAATGTATCTAACATATAAAACATTTCTCACACGTAGTTAGTTCCTAACAGTGTGGTTAGACTTTGTATTGTTAAATTTACGGTGCAACTTTTCAACTTCTGGGTTTTATTTTTTGTTGAACTGCCACTAAGGAAATAAATAATTTAAGCTGCTAAGGAACTTAATAATTTCTTTTCTTGGTACGGATTTATGTCCCGTCAATACGAGTCACTCATTAAACAGAAAGCAATGATTAAAGTGGAATGTTTTGGAGCATAAATACATATTATGATGTAACAAGACGACAAGATAAATTAGCTTTGGATTTTCCCCTAAGCTTGCTCATATTAGTAAAAACGTTTTCGTAAATAATAAGTAGACATTGATTACTAAAGGGCTTATCAAAGAATGTATTGGGAAATGGGATGGTCTAGTGCCTGGTATGTTGGTATTGGATCCAAGTTCCCACCTTCTTATGCAGTTTTTTGATAATTGAACGAAAATGCAGTGTGAAAATTCTTGGACAAGTAACGTTTATAGAATAAGTGTTGGGAACGTGTAGTTAAACGGCTGGGGTACCGCACGTTGTGTAATTTACCTATATATCTTTTAAGAAGTTTCGCTTCTACCACGTGTACAGTGCTGTACGCGTAACTTTTTTCAGTTATTCACAAGCAACTTTTAACTATGTGCCCAGTGTACGGTGATAAACTCGACACTAATAATGGTTATAATAAATAGTTAATTAGGTCTGCGTTACAGGGCGGTGGTAAAGAAAGACGTGATAGATTTTGTTTTGTGGTAATTGGGGGAAATTGGTCTGATCTAAGTAATAAGTTTTGGAATCTAGTTGAACTTCTTAATTTCCAAGACCACATTTGTTTCAACGTAAAATATTCCGAAATAATAAATCACTTTGTAAAGATAACTCGAGAATTCTATCATTCTTAAAGAGCATATCGAATATTTATGAATGTAAATTTTGTCGCGTGCATAATTTCGAATTAATCCTTGGATTAATTTTTACTATTATGACTATGCAATGCGAATATTATGTCTTCATTTTATATGTTACTAGTTGCTGCCCACTACTACGTCTGCGTAGAATAGGCTGAAGGTGTAACATTAAGCAGAAAGACAATTATACATAAAATATGTATATAAATTATAGCTTATCTCTTATTCTGATGTATAAGCTATATTATGGTAAAGTTTCATTAAAATCCATTCAGTAGTATTTGAGTGAAAGAGTAACAAACATCCATCCATACATACAAACTTTCGCCTTTATAATATTAGTAAGGATGTAATTGTTAAAAGTTACTCTAGATAAGGGTGTATAGATCTTTCTCAGGAAATAATAATTGTTTAATGCCCTTAATTAGCATTTAAACATTCTGCTCAAGGGAAACGAAACCTTTTACCCTCGTTAACTTCATAAGATGAAGGAAGTCGACTTGACCGCAGCAGACCCAGTAATATACCTCCATTTATATAAATAATAAAATAAATACCATATTACTTACATTTCTTCGATTAATTTACAGAGACCGTCATGATAGCGCCGACTTTCAAAGCTCGCTCTACATCACCAGGTATAGTGTTGGAAGTTGTGTGGAATATGTTGTTTAGTGTAAATAACAAAAAAAAACTCATACGAATCATACTGTATAGTAAACATAGTTAATAGTGTGTGTAAACTTGTTACT